GACCGGCAAGTCAAAAAACAACAACAACAACAAAAAAAAAACAACTTCGAAGAGCGATCTACTCCAAGTTTTGAAGCAAGAGTGGGCAAAAATCCCACAATCTAAAATTGACGAGATGATTCTCACGATGCCCCAATAGATCAACGAACTCCACGAAGCGAAAGGAAGATCTACTAGATATTAAATAAATTATAAATATATCAATTCATGTGAATATGACTGAACATTTTCATTTTTTCCTGAAAATGTGGTGTCTATTTACTTGTGACTATGCTGTGTAGTATTTTACAAATGATACTTTTTTTTTATAACAACTACAGTAATTACAGCTCTTACCTAAATACTACGCCTTACATGAACAACATATTGTTGAGGTTTGGATTCATCTTGAGACATGATAATTTAGCAAAATTCTTATATCACGATTTTAAACGAATCGTGAACATGCACATTAACATGAATGCTGAATAATGATTATTTTAAAAACTGATAATGTAATGCTTGTAGAAAATACGAACCCCTTGAGTATGTTGTTATGCTTCAAGAGACTGTACTTTGAAACAAAGTGGGATTAAAATTGTGATTTTGTACAAAATAAATAATTCATTTTCCCTCCTGATAAATTCTGTTGGATTTTGCCTATTTTTAATTTGAAAAGAAGTTTGTTATTGGAAAACAGTCGTCATTGCAAACTTCTTCATAGTAGTTACAAGTCATTCGATGTATAAGCTAAGAATAAAAAACACAAAACCGACTTTTTTTTTGAAAAAGGTAAACTCTTTATTATTAGTTACCAAAACTAGTCGGCTCTAACTAATAATAAAGATTTTACATTTCATTTTGCCTAAAAACGTCGGTTTTGTTTTTTATTCTTAATACAGCAGCACAATGTGCCTGCAAAGAAATTACGATGTGTAAGCTCTTAAAATGTTTGTATGAATTTCATTAGATGAATTGTTTTCAATATGCGTTTCTATCTCTAGTGCGTGATGCCAGCTTTCGTAGCGACTCAAATGTCAAAAATTCGACGAGCATCTTTTAATGTACCAACCCCTGATGAGTATGTGAAGTGGGCGATTCGAACAGTAGGGCTGGAGACAAGAACCTATGGTTATCCTCCTCACAGACTGCAGGTAACTCAATATTTTTAGTTTTAACACACATTTGTTAAGTTGTGGTTTCAGACTTAAGGGCTGGAGAATGCGGTAGTATAAACCTTCAATATTCATATTTTGTGCCCCCCCCCCCCCCAGTGGCACAGCGGCATGTCTGTAAACTTACAACGCTAGAATCCGGGTTTCGATACCCGTGGTGGCAGAGAACAGATAGCCCATTGTGTAGCTTTGTGCTTGATTATAAACAACAACAACCATATTTTGTGCCTCTTCAATAAGCGATGCTCCAATCAACACCCAAAGAAAAGAAATAATTTTATGTTAATAATTTCATCTTGAGTTTTTATATAGATAAAGTCTAAAGGGGAATCGTTTAAAATAGTCAAGGCTTCCAAAGTTAGCCCTATGTGAGTGTATTTTAGCGCTTTCGTAGATAAATCCATTTCCTCGAGTATTCTTCGGGTTTAGATTAACATTTGCAAAATAATTTAGTTTGCAGTGAACCTACTGAATAATGCTTTTTTCTTAATTTTATTTACAAAGTACATAATGCTGTGGTTAGAAGACTTATTGTGCGAAGAATCTCTTCACATAGATATTATCATTGAATTTTTAGGCGGATCATTTTGTATCAGTATAAAATATGATAAATTTAGATTAAATTCACTACTGTTCAAATAATTTAAAATCTGTTAACCAGATTACACTACCCTAAACAGCAACAAAATGAAACTAAAACTACTCTTTTTTGTTTTATCTTGTACATAATATGTGTGTGTGTGTGTGTGTGTGTCTATATATATATATATATATAAGTCGGTTTATGATATTTGCCAAAAAGATTGATACACTGTTTTCTTTTTTTACACAAATACGTTTTAATATACACAAAGCAATACAGTTTACTACAACAGTTATTAG